TGTGCCGATATGGCCTTTATCGGCCAGATGCTAGATCTGGCCGTATTTGCTCGTCAACAACAGCCAAAAAAGGGTCATCGTTGATGTTCAACGACGACCATTTGTGGGCCGTCATTACCGACTGTTACGGCTTTAGATCTGGCTTTTTCCGACTAGATCCACTGTGGATCTGATTGAAAAAGGCTAGATCGGTGCACTACCAGCTAGAGTCAGCCGATAGTGTGTCATCCTAACAGATTCTGATCATTTTTCGACAGTGATGGCCGAAATCTGGTAAATGTGGATTATTGGAGTGTTTTTGTAATTTTTTAAAAAATATTTAAGGGTGTTTAATTAAATTATTAAATTTAAAGAGTTTAAAAAAAAAATTGAATAATATTGAGTGTAGTATTCTCAAAAACCAGGGCTGCGTTTGTTTCAGTTTTAGGAATACTACTTTTAGTATTCCCAAAAAAGTTAAACAGTAAAATACCCAAAAACTCAGATTTTTGGGAATACTACTCCCAATATTATTCAACTTTTTTTAAACCCCTTAAATTTGATAATTTAATTAAATACCCCTAAATATTTTTTTTAAAATNGTTTCTTTATAGGGCTGCTTCTGCTAATCAGTATCTAATATTTGGTTTGCGAAATTCCATGAATTCATTGTACTTTGAATGTTGCTTTTAAAATAGTTTCATTTACATGATACAGCCGCAAGGTATGCTATATTACGTTTTGCAGTATTTCATCTACTTGCCATCTTTTATTTTTCCTCTTAGAACTGCATTTATTTTAATATGATGAATGTTATTTTTCATAATCACAAACTTTTTCAGTAGTGGAGGATCAACTATAGTGGCCCCAGTGGTTATGTTCTTCAAAAGGTAATTTTTCTTATAGCTACAATTTAAACTATATGCTAAACTTTTGTCCTGATATAGAATAGACTCCCTGGTGAGCTACGTGAATCCCTGAAGTACATTTACAACTTATGTGTTGAATATGTTGTCAAGAATCCTTTGAATACACCGGGAACTCCAATCAGGTAACTTGTTAAATTGTTTTTAATGGAGATTGAAATATATCAATTATGGATTTTGATATGTCTCTTTTTACCAATACCGATCAACTCTCTTGATAATGATGCATTTATAATTGTTAATTTGTTGAGCATGTGATAAGAGTGTAATTTATATATTTTTATTCCTTCCATGTTATGTTTTTTGTTATGTTTTATGCCTAGTTGAGTTGATTAGAGTTTATTTTGTAAGTTTGGCATATTTGGATAGACTTTATGAAATAGTTGAGAAAAGATTAGGAAATTCTAGAGTTTTTGTTATTCTGACCAGTGCTGCGTTTTTCAGGTTTTTCATGGAGTCAGATTTCTCGATTGCAAAAGGGTTCTTCAGCAAAAGTAAAGTAGATGAATCAAGCTTTCGAGGAAGGTATTATGGGCAAGAATTTGAGTTCGTTCGGGCCCTCATTAGTTGTTGCAAAACCGGACCTGGAATCCTAGTCGCGGAAGGATTTCCTGGCTGAGTATCGAGTCTTCGAATGGGCCTAACTAGAGCTTCAGATATCGAAAGCAGGTGATTCAGAAGCCCAAATTCATCTGCACATCCAGGACTACAACTTTTATGAAGTGACCAAGACCAGAAAAGTTCTTTTACATTGTGAGAATCCTGGTGCAAGCTGGATTACGAATTCTGTTTTCCAGATCTGATAAGATTTTGACAGTTTTGGAAGTCTATCGTTTAGCAAAGATCTAGGAAAGTAATTTCCGTGATTCCTGGTAGAATTAAGGAAAAAACACATTATTTATTTATGAGTTGTTAGGTTAAACAGAGGAGAGCAGTAGAGTTTAGTTTTTTCGGTTTTCTTTTACTTTCTACGTCAAGATGTGCAGCTGATCTTTCTTCTTCAGTTCAAGGGGATTTTGAAGCCTGAATTCATGTCATTGGTGTAACTTAACTTCAGTAACATTGTTCTTAATCTCGTTCTTATTGGAATTGTTTATGTTATTCTGTTTTAAATTGTTTATGATTCTTGTTTGGGTGATTTAGTAATGGCCTGCTAAATTGTTTAATCGAAATTTTATCTATTAGAATTAGGAATTGTGATACGTAACTGTCTTCTTTCTATTCAATGAGTAACAGATGATGATAGATGATTACAGACAAGTTTTCAGTCTATCACTTTGAATAACATAACCTAAGTTAAATAATCCGAGCTTGCGTGATTGTTGCTTGGATTGATCTATTTTCCTAATTCTTAAGGCTGCCATTGAATTAAACTTAGAGAGCTTATTCTAGGTTGTTCAAGGGTTAGGATCTAGTTGAAGAGCTTATTTCAGTAGTGACAATTAAGGGAAAATTCGGGTAATAGAGCTTGTTGTTTCCTAGGGTCAATAATTCCATAATAACGAGATAGAATAATGTTACGGTTAGTTCATGTCCAATGCATGTTTAGGTGGATCTTGAACCGAGAACTGGTTGTTTTTAATTTGATATTTTCTACCATTGGAGATTTATTCGTTTCACTTTAGATTGCATTGTCTACAACCCCTTTCATTATTTTGTTATCATGTTTACTGTTTAGGATTTTATTTTATTTTATTTTTCTATTGTTTTTGTTGTGGTTATTGGTTAGAATATAGGATTTAATCGAATCATTCCCTGTGGGATCGACCCTTGCTCATCCTATATGCAATTTAGTAGTTAGGTTAGTAACGTTATTAATTTGGAGCATTCGGCACGCTACCAGCATGACCAGTACATTGGTAGCTTGAATATTGATATATCTTTTAAACTTGTATGGTGCCATTTTTTAGAATCGCATGATTGTGAAGTTAGAGATTTAAACATATTCTTTTTCTCTTTGTTTTGCATTTAATATTTGGGGTGCTTTTGTCTTCATCTTTTCTTGAATTTACAATATATGTATTGTCATCTTTGAGAATATACATGGGAATTGAAGATGTCTTTTATATTAATGGCTTTGTAGGTTGTGAAAATGCAAGAGTAATTTTTTGGTAAAGCACAATTAGGAATGGAAGATGGTATACATGGTGGTTTTCGTTGGAAATTATTGAATGATTGAAAAGTATTAGAGAGTTGTGTTCTTGGGGATTTGATCCGTCCAATACAATTGTTTCATGACACTCGTTGAAGCGTCAAGAAAGGGTGGGTTGATGAACAAGCAAGAGAGCTAAGTTCATCAGGTTTGAATTATCTAATTAATGTTGCATGAGTTGTGTAGTTATGATTGTATCTATTATTACTAGATTTCTTGCGCAAGAGACTCCTCAATTCAATGCTTATTTGTGTAGTAAACAATGTTTTGATATAAACATAAATTATATATATGTAGTAAGAAATATAATCATAGCACTCACTGGGCAGCATGCATGGATGAATGTTGATATATAATTCTCTTTATAATAGATAAATCACAGATTAATTACATAAGTATATACTCATATAACATTAAACACATTTGATTGTTAGAAAGCAACTTGACAATGCTAAATAAATGAAAACTTTGTCTGTTTTAGAGTGTTCTCTATATAGCCAAAAGAAAGAAATAAAACTCAGCTGAATCATGATTAATTTACCTATGAATTTCATTCATGAGATATTGGTGGATGAGATGCGTATTGGTGGAGATCTGAAATAGAAAGTGAATCCAATATAGTAGGCTGATTTTCTTCTTAATTTCTTACTGATGTTGATGTTGAAGAAGAGGATGAGACATTATGCATATAATTCATATAAACACTGAATATTTAAGTAACTATTGTATAAGTTTGGGCATGTTAAACCTCAAATATTGACTGCACCACAGAGAATGGATGAGATGCATATGAGCTGTTCATACCATATGCATTAAGTAAATGGTGTTAAATGTTATTATATTGTATCTATTGAATCCCAAATTCTTGTGGACTTATTGCTTATGGTATGAATTGATGGCAGGAGAAAGTGATTGAGATGCAAGAAGAAACCCAGGCGGGGGAAAGTGAAAGATCTGAAGCTGAAACATATATATGTATGAAAATATGATATTTGCTATTAGTGATCAAATTTTTATATTGTGTCAATTATGTTGTTGATGTTGAATGCATAAACTAGAGGTCAATACGAAATGCTTTTGTCACTAATTATTTTCTAAAAAAAAAAAAACACATTTTGCAACTAATTTTTTAGTAGCAAAAAGTAATTTAGCATAATTGCATTCCACATTCAGCGTCTAAAGTGATTAGAATTAATCACCAAATTTTGGTCACCAAAAGATACATTCATCTACTAATAAAATAGTCGCAAAAACCTTTTGGATTTCACATTCAGCGTCTAAAATGATTAGAATTAACCACTAAATTTTGGTCACCAAAAGATACATTCGTCCACTAATAAAATAGTGGCGAAAACCTTTTGGATTCCACATTCAGCGTCTAAAATGACTATAATTAACCATTAAATTTTGGTCACCAAAAGATACATTCGGCCACCAATAAAATAGTCGTGAAAACCTTTTGGATTCTACATTCAATGTCTAAAAGTATTACGATTAACTACCAAATTTTGGTCACCAAAAGATACATTCGTTGACTAATAAAATAGTTGTGAAAACCTTTTACGAAATTACCCTTACACCTTTAGCGTCTAATTTTTGTGGCATTCGTGACAAATTATTAGACACTAAAAGGTACATTTTGCAACTAATTGATTAGTCGCGATACCATTTTACCAAATTACCCTTGAACAATTAGCGTCTAAGCGGGGGGACTATTTTAACCAGCAATTAGCGACTAATTTGCTAGTCGCTAAAAAAAAAACTTTCTGCGTCTAACCAAAAATTTAGACGCACATACTTTCTACGACAGCGATTCCGCAACTACGTGGTGACTATGGAATTTAGACGCGAAATATGCTTTAGCGTCTAATTTTACTTTCTACATCTAATTTTGCTAGACGCCGAAAGGCATTTTTCTTGTAGTGGTTTGAGCCATATAAAACCTAAGTGTAGCAACTCCTAATTGCTATGTATTCTGCTTCAACAGTGGATAAAGAGATCGAATCCTGCTTCTTGCTATACCATGTCACCAAGTTGTTTCCAAGGTAAAAGCATCCTTTAGAAGTGCTCTTTCTATCATCTATGTTTCCAGCCCAATCAACATCACTGTAACCAACCAAAGCTGTATTTGAATCATAGGAAAACCACAAACTAAAATCACTTGTACTTGAGATGTATTTCATTATCCTTTTCACTGCTATCATGTGAAGTTTAGAAGGGTTAGCTTGATATCTAGGACAAATTCCAACACTAGCACAGATATCAAGTCTTCTAGCAGTGAGATACAAGAGGCTTCCTATCATGCTCCTATACACCTTTGTATGTACCTTCTTACCATGTTCATCTGTTTTAGTTAATTTCAAGGTAGTGCTCATTGGAGTTTTAGCATGCTTAGCATTATCAAGACCAAAACTTTTCAACATGTTTTTACATATTTTGTTTGAGAAACAAACATCTTATAAAACCATATATGGCAAAATAATCCTAGAAGAGGGGTTTGAATAGGATTCTATAAAAATAATTGCAGAATAAAATTTCTACCAGCCCAAACAAGTTATGAACAAACAACACCAACAAAGATATGCATTAAATAAGAATGATGCTAAGCAATAAGGATGAACAATGTTAAGCAATAAATGAGAGAGAGAGTTATAAATGAAGAAATGAATGAGTGTAAATGATAATGATGTTTCAAGTAGATATGCAAAGAATAATAAATGAGTTGAGAGAGAAGAAATGCTTAGAGATTTCAAGTTGTTCGGAGCTCTATCCACAAGCCTCCTACATCCACTTCTTCAAGGCAACCTCTTTGAAGTTTCACTAGAATCAGATTGCGTCAAATACACTAATTTGATATGATTTCGCCTTTTATAATAGTTTGACAGGATATCACCTCTAAATTTACATGATTTTTCCCACAAGTGTTTGATTAAAAATGTTAGAAAGATTGCCTCTTAACCTAGGCTTGAACACACAATAGAAACAATACTCTTAAAGGTTTACAAATGAGAGCAAGAGAGTGATAATTTGATTTGGATTTTAGCCCAAGGAATTATGAGAGAATATTTTGATATGACTTTGAATCTTTGATATTCTCTCTATCTTTCTTAGCAATGAAGTTCCCTATTTATTGCTCATCTCTTCCCTTGGATGCAAATAGTCGTTGCTGCATTTAATGTTGTTTTGAAAAGCCTATAGACATAGAGGAATTGGCGTTCCACCATCGCAAATGGTCGTTGCTGACACCAACGATTAATTCGTATAGCTTTAGGTTTTCTTATATGATCGTTCCACCATCACGAACGATCATTCCACCATGAGGAATGGTAAGTTCATTGGCTCCTTAAAATCCATACAAATTCTAAAAGCATGCACGACTTCTTGGAACGTTGTCGTTTAGCCAAGAATGATCTTTGAGTGTGAACGGTCGTTCCACTTTAGATACTTAAACTTCAACTTGATCTTCAAGGCTTATCCTCTAAGATTCGTCAAAGGTGAGAAGTGTTTGAATTCTGAGTACTTTGACTTTTGACTTGGATGGAACAGGCATGCTGCTTGGCTATGTTGTTGTGAGCGAATTAAGTCCATTTTGGGTAGAAGCATGCACGATTACATGGAACGCTATTGTGTTGAGAGGAACATGCACCTGGGCAACTTTGTGATATGTACAAGGAACGATCGTTCCTTCGTCCTACACAGTCATACCAACCGGGAAAATGCATTTTATTTTTGGTTATAACTTCTTGTCATACCTTAGCATGTTAGTTAGAGAACCAATCAACACTTTGATTAGTTTTGGCACATCAAAACATATGAGGGCTCAACACATCCCATTTTCAAGTTGTTTAACCGAAAGTCTTAAAAACATGCTTAATTCTCCAACCATACTTATTTCAAATTCATTTTTTATCAAGGAAACAAATTCTTGAGATTATGTATGGGATTTGGAATTAAAAACAATATCATCTACATAGATTTGTGCACACAACACACCAGCATCAAAATGTTTAATGAAAAAAGTTTTATCAATAGTACCTCTTTTGTACTCGTGATCAAGAAGAAAAGAGGTAAGTCTTTCCTACACTTTGTGCATAGGCTGCACACCCAAAAATCCTCAAATAACTCAAATCAGGCCTCCTACCCGGCCATTTTTCTTCTGGACAGTACAGATCTATAGTTATGGAAGGGCTCCTATTCACTAAAGAGGCTGCTATGGTTAGTGTTTCCCCCCAAAAAGTATTAGGCAGGCCAGAGGTAAAGAGGAGACATCTAACCTTCTCCAATAAAGTCTTGTTCATCCTCTCAGCAACCCAATTTTGCTGAGGGGTTTTTCTAACAGTCCTATGCCTTAGGATACCATTCTCTCTACAAAAATTATCAAATTTAATATTGCAGAATTCTAGACCATTGTCTGTCCTCAATGCTTTGACTCTATGATCAACCTGGTTCTCTACTAGAAGTTTCCACTTTTTGAACTTAACTAGGGCCTGGTCTTTAGACTTAAGAAGAAAAACCCAGACTTTTCTACTATAATCATCAACAATAGAGAGGAAATAACTATTTCCTCCATGGGACCTAACTTTTTCAGGTCCCCACAAGTCTGAATGAAGGTACTCTAAGCACTTAGTAGCAAGGTCAGTTCCCCTTTTGAAACTCAACCTGTGCTGTTTTCCCAACACACAATTTTCAAAAAAGTCTAAAGTAGAAATAGTATCCTTACCAAACATCCCTTGGCTATTAAGGATATTCATCCCTCTTTGGCTCATGTGGCCCAATCTTAGGTGCCATTTTTCTATTACAGAAACATTAGTAGAGACAAGAGCAGAATTATGCAGTTTAGAGTTATAACTGCCACAGAGAATGTACAAGCCATTTTTCTTTTCTCCTTTAAGGACAAGGTTCTCATTTTTGTACACAAACAAACATCCATTTTCAGCTCTATAATTGCAACCAGATTCATCTAAAGTCCCTAAAGATATTAAGTTTCTTTTTAGTTCAGGGATAAATCTGACTTTAGTCAATTTAACCAATTTCCCACCAGTTAGCCTTAGTGTGATACTCCCTATTCCCTTAACCCCACATGCATTATTATTACCCATAAAAACAGTTTCATGCTCATACGGTTCAAAATCTTGGAACCAATTTTTATTAGGGCTCATGTGAAAGGAACAACCAGAGTCTAACACCCATTCATGTACACAGTCTGATTTTGACACAGTCAGTACTTCAGGCTCTTCTATGTGGGTTTTAGTTGAAGCTATATTACTCTCAGTATTTCCCTGTTTCTGCTTTTTAATCCATTCAAAGCAATTCTTTTTTAAGTGACCTGTTTTATTGCAATAAAAGCATTTTCTGTTTTCTCCTTTAGGCCTATTGTTTCCTTTACCCTTTTTCTTGTTCTTAAGACCATTATTATACTGGTTTCCTTTACTAGATTGACTAGTTTCGCCTTTACTCTTTACAAACAAATTGCTTCCATTTCTTCTTTGGGTTTTTAGTTCAAGTTCCCTAGCTTTTAAGCCTGCTACAATTAAATCTAGACTCGGTACAGTCCCTGAGTATTGCAGTGCATTCTTTACAACCAAATAATCATCAGTTAAAGAATTCAGTAAAATCATAGCAAGACTAGTATCTCCTAGTTCCTGATCAGTACCTTTAAGAATTAAGGTCATTTTTAGAAACTCATCTAGGTTGTCTTCTATAGACTTAGAACTATCCATCTTATAAGAAAACAATGCACCCTTTAAAAAAGCAAGATTAGGTGCAGATTGTAAAGCGTAAAGTGTTTCGAGTTTACCCCACAAGGCCAGAGGAGTCTCTAGGCCATCTACCTTCCGCAGGACATTGTCCGCCAAGTTCATGATGATTAGGTTGTACGCCTCTTCATCGATTTCTGCCTTTTTCTTCAGCTTATCCTCAGGCCATTTCTCAGCGTTCTTCTCCAGAGCCAGTGCCACCTTGTTATGGGAGAGCAGTGCCTTCATCTTTTTCTTCCAACTACTGAAGTCGATTTTCCCATCGTATTGGGTAATCTCCATTCTAGTAGTTGTAGACATTTTGTGTGAATTAAAGAAACTTCAAGATTCACTCTGATTTAACCCTAAAGGTTCAATTCTGATTTCTGACTTAATATCCCCAACGAGACCCTAGACTTTCAAGAACAGATCAAATCAACGAATTTCACCTTCGATTTTACGATTTGAGGATCCTAGAGTGCTAAAGAGACGCCTAGACACAAAAGCCCCAAAAAATTATTCACAAACCCTAGGTTTGCTTAAACTTTCAATTGGACAAATTTGTCACTCAGAAATCAAACAAGATCCTATCTCCAATGCTCTGATACCACTGTTATGCAAATCTTCCTAATCTTTACCACACAATCAAGATAAAAACAACCACAACAATACACACAGAAATTACCGTGGTTCACCTATCCAAGATTGGGTAGGCTACGTCCACGTTGAGCTCCGGAATCAGAGGAGCTCGCTGCACTAATCAATTACAATCAAGAGTTTACACCACAGATCAAAGATCACTCACTCAAGAATACAACACAATCTTTACCGTAATCCTACCTAGAGAACACAATCAGATTCCCTATTTCCTTGAGAGTAAAACCCCTCTCACTTGAATGAAAAACCAAACACTCACTCACCAAGATTACACAGATTGAATGTAACAAGAGAAAAAGAAAACCCTTCAGCAATTGCTCTACAATTCACGAAGAAGAAAGAAAAACGCTACAGCTCTTTCCCAATTTGTTCCTTTATATAGTGTTGACCAGATTGTGGATTTTCAGCCATTGGATCTGCAGTTAATCAACAGCCAAGATTTAATTCAGCAGCTCCCAAAACGACGTCACTCCACTTATGGCCAAAACAGCCCCGTTTCATGTCTTCAACTCAACATGGAGCTTGGAATTTTCCTTTAATTTGGGCAGCCTGCCACACCGATCGAGAAAATGGGCACATAAAAAATAAATGATCATGGGAATCATAGGACCATTACATAACACACATTTCAAGTTCTGATGGTAACGACTAACGAGCGCAACCAAAAATTAAATCACTTTACTCACAATTTAACTACAAGTCGATATACAGAGACTAACTAATCAGATTATCCAATTTAATATCATAATGAATTAATGAAATAAAAGGGGGGAAATTTTACTTCTAAAATTAATTACTACTAACAAAAATTAAGTAAAGAGAATTTAATTAAAAAAAATGATTTCGCCTCAAAGAAATTACCCATAGTTGCAAACTGATCACTGACTTCTAATATATATTATTTTTTAATTGAATATTTAACCAAAGATTATCAAAAAGTCAGACAATCTTTATCTTCTCTAAATTCATTAATTTGAGCCTAATATACAAATTAATTCTTATCAATAAATCACTTGGTATTACGCAATCCTTATGAATTTACTGATAGCACTACGGATTAGGAAGTAGTTAAAAACGAATAACAATCGAACAAGCGTCAGATTATTTAATTCATTCCATGTTTCTTTTAAACAATCAACAAAAGCTTGGATTACAATTGTTTTGCTTAATTACTACTCTAACTGAATATTATAACAATTACGGATTACAAATTCAGTTTAGCAATCAATTGCACAATTAATTAATTAACAGGCTTCTTTAATCGATTAAATCATGCAACCATAATAAATATAACAAATAAACACAGATATACAAATAGAAAAATTACTAAAATTAAGAATAAAGTCTCATAATTATGTTAACTGGATTGGTGTTTCCTTGAATGAACTAAAGAATTTAGCCTGACAAGATGAGATGAAAGGCACAAAGAAAATGAAAAATAAAATTGTGTTCTGTCTCCAACTCTTAAACAAGTGAAATTCCAGATCATACACACAAATTTCCAGCCCTTCAGACTTGTATTGAACTCCCTCTTAAAGTTGGACCAAGTCTTGATACGAGCTATACAAAAATATTCCAAATCGGCTAAGGATTAAAGCTTCTGGGCTAAAGCTGTAACTTCCAGGCCAGTTTTGGACAGGACAAAGAGCTTTCTGGACTTCGGCCCTCTCATAAGAATTGTAGCTCAGGATGTGTACTTCAATTTGGGCTTTTGAATCATCTCATTTGAGTTCTGGAAACCCCAGTTATGGCCTTTTAAAGCTCTAGTGGTTGGACAGAAATCCTACTCCAATTAGGATTCGATTTCAATTTTCAGCTCTGACTTTACACCAACAATCGGAGGCCCAAACGAAGTCGTCTCTGGACATGCCACCCAAACTTAGAAAGCTTAAGATGTCTACTTTAACTTCATAAATGGTCCGAAAACCAAATTGTAACTCCAAGTCTATCAAAAATCTGCAAACAACTCAAAACATCCAAAAGTAAAAATATTGGAAACTTCTGATTTTACGTATATTTTACTAACTCCTAACCACAAATGCCTTATAAATAAAAATCATCACAAATAGACACCATAAGATATTAAACATGCCAAATATCTAAATGCAAGGATAATAAAAATATAAAATTATAAGTCTATCAAGTTCTCCAAGTCTGACGAAGGAAGAATTCTGTCTTAAGTTAAGAGTTTATGTTTAATAGCTAGCCACAGAATAAAGGAATGTCATGGAATACATGTCCCATACCAGACGAGCCAGCTCCAATTGACTTCATTCGATAATGGAGCCAGATCACGCCAGGTTTGTGCAACTGAGAACCTCACCTTCCTGCCATCTTTGGTGCGCCAGAAAACAGAATCCTGAGATGCCACATTGGGAAGAGGGGGAGACTGTCCTGTCACTTGGGGAAACTGCTCTAATAACTCATCCGGCCACCTCCATTGTCCATTGTCAATAATGTTGCTAACTTTGGCGCGGTGACCAAGCCTTGAAGAATAGTACAATCTGCGAGGAACGATTTTATCAAGGGGTCCCATCGGATGCCAATCATCATGCCATAAAGAGATCGATTGCCCATTTCCAAGTATAATTCCAATACAATCTCTAATGCATTCACGGGTTTGAAGGATTTTACGCCAGCTCCAGCTCGCATCCCAAGGTATTGGAACATTCCAAAAACTATGTCCTCGTAGTCGATAAGAGTGAATCCATTTGACCCAAAGGATTCTCTGCTAGCAACTATCGACTAAGCATGAAACACCATCAAGGAGACATTCCAAATGGACAGGGGTCTAAGTCCTAACCCACCTTNAAAATATTCCAACTGGATGTCAAGTCTGCGTTTTTAAATGGATGGCTCAATGAAGAGATCTATGTTGAGCAACCAGATGGGTACCAAGTTCAAGGCCAGGAGAATAAAGTGTATCTTTTGAGGAAGGCCTTGTATGGCCTAAAACAGGCTCCTAGAGCCTGGTACAGCAGGATCAATGAATACTTGAGTGGCTTGGGTTACTTGAGAAGTCCCAATGAACATATACTATATGTAAGAAACATGGAGGGTGAATTGATCATTGTTTCACTGTATGTTGATGACCTTCTCATCATCGGCAGTAGTCCAAGTAAGGTGGATGAATTTAAGGAAGCAATGAATTGTGAATTTGACATGACAGATCTCGGGATAATGTCTTATTTTCTGGGTATGGAAATTAATCAAACTTCAAGTGGGATATTTGTCAATCAGAGGAGGTATGCTGTGGAGGTTCTTAAACGGTTTGGCATGGATAAATGCAAGCCAGTCAATACACCTCTGGTTGCTACTCAGAAATTGAGCAAAGAGGACGGGGCTGTCAGGGTGGATGAGAGTTTGTACAGAAGCTTAATAGGCTGTTTGCTGTTAACAGCAAACAGGCCTGACTTAATGTATGCTACAAGTCTCCTCTCCAGGTTTATGACTGCTAAGAGGGTGCTCAGATATGTTAAAGGTAATCCTGGACTTGGTGTGTGGTTCAGGAAATCTGAAAGTTTTCAGCTTGTGGGATATTCGGACAGTGACTGGGCTGGATCGATAGACGACATGAAGAGTACATCCGGCTATGTATTTTTCTTAAATTCTGGTGCTGTGTGTTGGCTGTCCAAAAGGCAGGCAACGGTAGCTGAGTCAACAGCAGAAGCAGAATACATCTCTGCTGCTGCTGCCGTGAACCAAGCCATTTGGCTCAGAAATATTTTGAATGATCTGAACCAAACTCAGAGACAGCCTACTGTAATTTTCTGTGACAATCTGTCTACAGTTTCTATGGCAAAAAATCCAGTTAATCATGGCCGTACCAAACATATTAAGATAAAATACCATGCAGTAAGAGAAGCTGTGCAAGATCATGAAGTTGAGTTGATACACTGCCGGGGAGAAGAACAGGTCGCTGATATTCTGACTAAGCCGTTGTCCAAAACCAAGTTTGAATATCTTCAGTTCATACTTGGTGTTTCCAGCAAAGACATCAAGGAGGAGTGTTGAAAAGTGATATCATGCTGGAAATGCAGAAAGGTGGCAGATTTTTTGAACGAAGTTTAACGCCTGTTGATCTCCCGTAATTCATGCAGAAGCAGTTTTTATTTTGGTCACTGTGTTGGCTGATTCAATGACATGTTTAGGTGTATTAGGTTTGGTTAAGTGTAGTTTCTCACTTGCTTGTACGTGTATTAGTAAGTGGAGTAAGTTTAAAATTTGAATTTTGAATTGTTTTAGTTGAAACAGTAACGTAGGCGTGTATATATTTTACCCCTGTTTTTTGAATCAAAAACAGAGCATTATTGCAGTCCCTAATTTCTCTTTCGTTCATCAGTTTTTCTCTTTCGTTTCCATGCAAAACTAACAGTTACCTGGCTTGAAGAAGCCTAATTTAAAGACCCCGCCTGCGGAAAGAATAGTTTGATCACCGGAGAGAGATTGGTTTGCAGAGATGGTGTCAGCTCCAGAAGAGACATGAAATTTGAGGGAGAAGCATATGAAAAGAAACGAAATCATCAACCATGGTCTGTACTTGGTATCCATGGCTGCAACAAATTCTGTGCGGTAAAAAATAGAGATTCAAGAATAAAAGAAACTATCTATTATGTTTGCATACATGTGAAATTAGACAGAACAGGGAAGAAGAACATGTGAAATTAGATGAGATTTCAGTTTCTGCGACTAGAGATCCCAGAAACATTTGCCCTTCCTCTTGTGCACTCCATAAAAGAAAAGTCAAAGGAAAGACTTTGATATTGACTATCCATAACTCCAAACTTTCTTACATTTCAAAACTTTAATATCCATTTTAAGGACATTTAGTTCATATCCGGGTGCTATAGGCTCTTTTTCTGGTCTTGTCTGGGGCCAGCTTTTTTGTTTAGTTGTGTCTATTTTGACCTTGGTGAATTTGCGCCATTTTGATGATTTGTGGCTGCTTTTTGTTGAGTCGTCTTTATTTTATGGCTTACGCTACTTGGTTGACGGTCCTGGCTTTTGTTCTTCTGACTTCCTGGTGGTAATTTCTCCTGATTCAAGTGTCCTGTTGGCGAGTCACAGCTGCTGTGTTGGGAAGCCGCTGCTGCTGCAATTTTTTCTACACTTGTTGCCATTTCTCTTTTTGTATAGTCACCCCACCCCACCCCAAGATGTTCTTGGCTGTTTTTGGGGTCTGGGTGGGTGTGGAAAGGATTTTACATCCTAGGCTGTTTTTGCTCTTTTTGTTTTGTGCCGTCGGTTGATTTTGTTTAGGGACATGTCGCTTCGGGTACTCCCTGTTTAGGTGTATGTTTTATTCTTTATAAAATTACTGGTTACCAAAAAAATTGAAGAAAAGGGGAATAAATTGATTCAAAACAAATGTATATGCATCCTATAAGTATATACAATTTTTGATTGATTGATCGAATATATATATAATCGCTATAATCAATTATTTCTCTTTGGAGTGAATTAGGGAAGGAAATGATTGTAGGAACAATAAAAATAATGAATATTAAATAACAAGGTTAGAATGGCCCAATCACAAATGGTAGGTGGATGATGAATGGAATATGCTTGAATTTTCATTCGGTTATGTTCATTCGTGTTCAATCATAAATTAGTGGGGGACAGGACAGGACAGCTTCCTTCATGAACCTTCCTGCTTGTGCTCATATAGCGCCACCACCAACACAAAACAACTTATATTCTCACCACCACTTATTCAATTCCCCTTCTCTTTCAAGGTTTTGGCCTCCGGTTGATGCCATAGATATACCCACCCAGATACTTCAGCGCCCACAATCACTTCATCATAAACATGCATTCTCTTCTTATAGTTTTTATTACAATTACCTTCGACATTCTTTTCTATTACAAGTTTCTCGCTTGTAAGACATCGATTACAACAAAAACATAACTCGTAGACAGTTTTATTCTTTTTCTCTACAAAAAGTACATGTCATAGAAACTACAAGGGAGAACATAATAGTACAAAGACCAATTATTTGAAGTGTCATATTGAGAACTATGCGAGCTATATAATTCACATCTAAATGATGAAGACGACATCATGAGATTGCACATACATGTGATACAAACAAAGCTCATTCATCAGCGATCTCTAGGCTCGAGCGCAACAATTTCCCTGACAACCTGAGTTTTGTCAGCCTCAAACTGTTCATCCTCTGCAACAGAACATACATAAAATGTGAACACAATCCCAAGCATATATGATGCTTAGTGTTGACAGAAACTCGTTACTTTTCTACCTTTATCAGTTTTGAGATCAGCAAACAAGCGGAGAAGCTTGCTTCTATTTGCGACAAGTATGCTTACGATATCTGGAGGTTTATTTTGATTAGCCGCGAACAACTGTAAAATGCACACAGTTACACAAATGAGCATATGGTACCTAAAAACATCTTCTGAATTGTGAATTTACAATCTACACCTACAGTCTCACCAAAACACAATACCTTGAAAACATGAAATGCTTCTATCTGAATACTCTTGCTAGACTCCTGCAAAAGAGAACCATTTAACACATCAAAGTTTAATTCATTATAAAAAATTTCATAGTCAGGTTATTTTTCATCCAAGGCTAGCAGATATGTTCCACATGCAATCTGGGAACCGTGTCTTACTCTCAGAAGATTCATAAGTATCCTCAAGTTGTCCCTTGAGCTCACATATTTTGTCATCACAACGGAATTAGAGCGATCCAGTAATATATCCACCAACAGCTGTAAGAAATAAAGACATTCAGTAGACAGTATAACTCTCAAAACCACCGACCAGAAGTTCCACAACTGCTAATATCTTCTCCTGAAACTCAAAGCTTCCCTTAAATCTTCTGGAAATCTTTATATATGGCTAAATATCCATGATACCATCCATAGTATTAGACAAGAACTACTCTACTCTCTCCAAAATTAATTTTGGCATGAGCAAGGCATTGGCATAGTTTAAATACATTTTATTATTCATAAGTAAGCACAGAAACACTGATTGCTCCAGCTACTAAATCGATATCCAACATGAAAACACCAAAAGCAAGTTTTCATGCCAGATGCCACAAGTTCCAGAAACAATAAGGAATTCCAAACATTCAGAGATCTGCAAATATAAATCATTTAAGGCTTCTTTATCATACGTGGAAGATCTCATAAATTAGTCATACCTTGATAGCTTGTCGTCTTGTGATGTAATTGGAAGATTCCAACAGTTTTGAGTTATAATCCGCAAAAAACTGAAACCAGCAAAGAATTTGGACATGTTAAATTCTTCTGAAACCGGGAAGAGCAGAATTTTAAAAGCCTAAGGTTGAACTTTTAGACTATAAAGAACCATGAAAAATATTAATTAAAAACATGATCATGAATTCGAATTCTGATATTATTAACATAACAAAAATTCAATGCAGACTAATTCACATGCAAACAAGAGGTATGGAAATAAAATTGGAAAGGGAACAGAAATAATCTTCTACTGGAGTTATACAAGGCATTTCCCAATTTATATTCCTGTTTTCCTCACTGAGTTACCTTATCTACTTTTGGTATTCTTGCAAAGTACACCACAAGATGCAAAGCATGCTTTTCCTCTGGTGCCCATGTGGGCATAGACATACACAGACATGTATGCATAGAAGATTCATTTAAAATCTTATGGAAGCAACACTTACCCAGTCATAATTCTTAGAAAGAAATTCGGCCACAGTAGATTTATGCCTTACCAGCAATTCCTGAAATGAAGGATATTAATATCATCATATCTAAGTATTGCAACTGCAAGTGTATTACTAGGAAGTATAATGGCTGCAAATTTGCATAGTCAGACTACGACAATATCCTAGTTAATGAAGTTTGCTAAATTATTCAACCTTAAAAGTTGCAGCAGCATCTGCAGCAATATCGAAATTTGGAAGCTGTATATAGTCAAAGAACTTCTTCATGTGCTGTGATTCCAACACATACCTGTAAATCAAACCAAAGATACTAAAGCACTCAGGAAACCTATTTATCAAAAATAATAATAATAATAATAAATAAATAAAGCAATTTGAAGATCTAGATCAAAACACCTATATGATTGTCCTGCAACAACAATAAGGGAGCATATGCGTCATTCAGAAAAACCTCAACAAGTGCAATCGGTCATTAGCTTGAATTTGATATACATGTGGTACACAGATTTTATCTTAAGAAACCAACTTCAATCAGGATAAACAATTATATCTTTACCAAAACTTTAAAACAGAGTGTCGTGCTAAGGGATTCTAACAGATTAGCATCAGGCATTGAAGGAAAATTAGGCTGCAATGTGCCTTTTACTCTTCCGACATTTCAGTTTGCACATATTTCTCAGCATATGATGTTAAATTTCACTTGACAATAGAAGATGACGATTTACATTAACTGCCAGGTGAACAAATGAAATAGTGCAATCCGGTTCACTTTGCTAACCTTGCGATAGTCTGATGACGAATGCACTCCCGCAGCATAGCACCATAATGTAAAGCCATATCTGTGTTCTCATAACTAGAGAAACAGCTTCCAACAATTAGAAAACACTATAAACAATGAAATTGACATATATGACTTTGCTGAAATATCTTCCTTTGTCAGCTTACCCTGATATCAAAATGTCCAAAAGATCCATATTTGCTTCCAAGTAATCAGATGCAATCAACTTTGATTGAACTTGTTGCCTTTGTAAATTAGCAATAATCTGAGTGGCATCTTTTCGGGCCTGCAAAATGTGATCCCTGTCATTATAAATGAGATAGGAAAATTTTGCGATATATTTACAAGTCTTGCTGCTTTGAATTTTACACTTTAACTTGAGCAATGAAATTTTTAGTAAGTCATAGAAGATGCAAACGTATTAACAAATGAATGAATTAACTACACACACCAAATTAAAGAAAAAAGAGCAAGGAAATTGGAGAGTTGGTTCAACTTTGCTATATAATGGTTACCTCTAAGTTCAATTTTGGGAGACATGTGATCAAAAGCCGCATTGTGTTTTGCCTGAAGAACTCCTGAGTCAATTGTGCACAAGCCTCTGAAACTGGCTCAGATTCACTATTGCCATAAAGTATCTGTTTCATCTCTCTTATGTTTTTACATAACTCTGCCATCTGCATAAAACAAAATGCAATATAGAAAACGTTATTACTTTCACACTCCAGACTTGCAATGATGGAGATCTTTCTCAAATAAATAAACTGAAACATAAACCTAATTCAAAAGCATATTTTGAATCAAGAAAAACAGGTAGGAGCAATTCACATCAAGAGGAAAACTCTTAAACACTACACAATGACTTTTCACAGAATGGACAGTTTGGAAAACCACTTATAGAGCAATTGCGAAGCTAGCCAAATAGCGAATATAAAATTCTCATTTTCCAGCAATTTATCAGAGAGATATCTCGTAATCTTGAATGAAACCAGAAGGCAATTAAAAATCTGAAATCCAATGCAGATTAACAAAAATACAAAACTTAAAAAGGGGTAAACTGAAAAAAACTTTACAAGGTACACAAAGAAGTGTAGAGATACTACAACCCAATGCCATTACATTCAATTAGGATCAAATTCTATACCATTTTGTTCCTCAATCCATAGTGACATTAAATATCATAATAAAGGAAAAAGATCCAAACTTTAACCAAAACCCAGCTTTCTCCAGCCACCCAAAAGCACAACACCGCAGATTAAACTTTGAAAACACTCATCCTCAGCTAATTCAACTTATTAAAAAGGAAAAAACATAATTAATACAATCCAATTGAAATCAAAACAAATTAACAAAAAAAAAAAAAAAAAACCAAACCTTCTCTTCGCGCTTGGATTCACGAATATCAGAACCGCTGCTAGCGTAAATAAGAAGATCGCGAGTTTGTCTGACGACGTCGACGGGGGTACGTGGCTTAGATTTGAAAAGGCCTTTCATTTCTTTGTTAATTTTTGTAGTTCTAAGTTTTCGTTTAGATTCGGGGTAAATGGAAGTAGAAGAAGAAGTCGGAGGTGCTGGCGGTGGAAGTCGTGCTGGTGGTGGTGGTAGGGCTGGGTTCGAGAGCCTCTGAATCAGCTCGGCTGAAGAGGCTCTGCGTGCCGCAGCTGTGGGCTTCGACACACAGATGCCTATGCTTTCCGTAGGAACCACCGAACCGTGTTGGAGGGATATTTTATAGGTAAATTGGATTTGATTGAGTGTTATTACAAAAGAACGGTGAAGAAGATGATGACGATGAAGGAGAAGAGAGGTGGTCTGGATTAGATTAATTTTAGGAGATGTGTCGTGGAGAGGCAAAACGGCTTTGCCTTTGGGCTTTACGTTCCCTGCTGCTTTCTACTTGGTAGTTACTCTGTGGACCATCCCTTTTATATTTTTATATATATTGAACAAAAAATTTAACTTATTAATTATTAAAAAATTATAATTATATATTTTGTAATTTTCTAGGAGATATATATCGAAATAAGTAAATCTTTTGGTTTTGTAATATTCTTAACATGTGCCCTCAATCCACGTGTTAAAGCCAATGTTGTAAGACTCGAGGTCGATTTCAAGGCCGGATGGTCTGACCAGCAGGTTGGACCAGTGACATCAACATGACATAACAAAATTTTAAAATTCTAATAAACTTTTAAAATAATCTCATCTAAATCTAAAATCTAAATAACAATATAATATAAATAAAATAAATTGAAGAACTGAAGACTGAAATTGAAGAATAGAATTTAGGGATTTTAATTTTAGGAAGTAGGATTGCGGTTTAGCCATCGGTTCTCTGACTCCACGGTTAAACTGGTGATTCGACATTGTTTTGCCGATTCAACTCTTGGTTAACCTGGTCCAACTGTTATAATCAGGTTCAAGATGTACCAGAACAAATAAGAGTCCAATCAAATCGGTTGACCGACCAGTTCGCTTGGGATTTTAGAACAATGGTTAAAATAACACTTTTTCTATAAATGTATATTTCATTTTCCATTTTCAGAAAATAATTTTGAAAACTTTTTCTATTCATTTAAAAAACAAAGCATTAAATACAATTTTAAATTGGACTTTATTTTATTTCTATAGATTCTTGTATATATATATATATATATATATAGAAAAGTTTATCTTAAAAGAGGATACTAAATTCATCAAACTATTAAAATAAACAAACAAGAAGTTTGACATTCTCGAAACCTCTATCTATTACAGAGTGTTTGTGCTCGACACACGCTAAAAAACTTGTCTTAATTAAAAGCTAGACAATGCTATATTTTAACCTTTGACATTAATAGTAAACATAACCCATAAATTATTTTAGTTTTTATAGGATCAATTTGTCCTTCATATATATATATTTTATTGATAATGAATATTACGTTAGACATTTTCCTCTATAACCGAATGACAAACTTTTAGCTATTGACGTTATCTATGTTTAGGAGGTCTTGTCTTCGAGTCGCAGGAGAGACAATTACCAGGTTTATCAAAAAAAAAAAAAATTATTATGTAAGGTTTATTGGAAAATAGAAAGAGACAGGCGTCATGTATATATGTGGTAACCAATTAGGCAGCTAGCATTGATTTTGCAATCCACCCAATAGATAAAGAAGTTCTCTTTAATTTCCAACTTCACAATCACATGCCTTCCCCACTCCTTCAATTCTTTACCAACTTTCAATCTTCTCTCATTCCTCTGCCGAATTCTCCATCTCAAAATCAACTCACATTAATCATTAAATTGTTCATAATATGAGAAAAATAATCACAATAATCCTTTGTTTATCAAGGGCAATATTGTTCATAATATGATTTTTATTGTGTTGTAATATACTAACATGTTGTGACGCTGTATTTTCATGTTGAGAAACATTTTTATGAACCCATTCGTGTGTAATCCAGATAATTAGAACGAATTGGAGATAATATGGATAAACACAAAGTCTTAGGTTCGGTTCCTCAACTGAACATCTACAATTTAAGTGGAGAGGAGGGTTGTTGCGCTGCTCTGCTTCTTCATCAAAAGAGAACTAACATAGTAATATATATTTTCACAGTAAAACATAATGTTAACTTCCTCTTATAGTAGAAATAGTGTTATATATAATGATTTAGGGATCGAAGACCGTGTGCAATTCTAATAATTAAAACATGAAAAAAGAGGGGATAGTAGTTTTGTTTGGAGTGTAAATTACTGTGATTTGTAAATTCAGGAAGTTAGCTATAACTTCCTTCTGTAGATGATTTCATAGTGTGCGTATATAAAGGAACCCAGTTCTTATTCTTCATTAATCTTAGAAGAATAGAGTTACAAAATTCATTTACTGTTCATTGTCTTCAACCTCCAGCTTAATTAACTTATAAACTTCCTACATTCCACACTGTGATTATTAGGTTTTACGTATGTAATTTATTCGTTCCCTAGAAACAAAATGTACATTATGTTTGGTTTATTAAAAGATAGATAAAGAGGTAACCATACATGTGTATATATATATATGGTGGCCAACCAGCTAAATAGCTTTAATTTTGCAGTCCACCCAACCCAAGAGATAAGAGCTTTCCTTTAGTTTCCAACTTCACAATCACATGCCTTCTCCAGTCTCCACTCATTCAATATTGCTTTACCAACCCACTATGTTTTAGACTTTTAATTCATTAATCTTCTTTCATTCCTCCCAAAATTCCTCCATCTCAAAATCCTCTCATATCAATCACTAAATTGTTGATAATATGATAAAATAATCGAAATGATGTCAATCACGAGAATCCTTTATTTGGAATAGGCACTGAGGTTGCTGTCCCGGTGTTGTTGGCCTTTGTGACATTGTGGTGCTTCGAGATAACATCGAGTGCGTTTGGTTTCATATTATTATCCATATTCTCAATCCTATTCCTCAAATATTGTTTGACACATTATTTGAGAAATATTATTGTATTTTTTTAATTACTTTTAGACCCTTTAAGTTTATTAATTTCATAAATATCCTCAGAAAAAAAGTTTAAAAATTAGCAAAAACACCCCCACCCATCCATACTTGCCAGATTCCGGCAACCACCGTCGGTGGTAGCCGGAATCTGTCACAACGGCTTACACCACATCGGTGGTAGCCGGAATCTGTCACAACGGCTTACACCACGACCGTAACTAGCCGGTAATTCACCGATCTGGCCTTTTTCAACCAGATCCACAATAGATCTGATCGGAAAAGGCTAGATCTGGCCGTCAGCACAGCCAACGATAGACTTTTGTGGTCGTCGACAGCTACATCTGGCTGTAGAGACGCGTTACGACACAGATCCGACCGGTTTGTGTTGTAACGCAATTTTTTGACCAGATTCCGGCGGTGTTGGCCGGAATCTGGCACTGAAATTTTATATATTAGGGTATTTAATTAAATTAGCAAACCTGTAGGGTTTTTTAGAAATTTTTAAATTTTACCTTCTAATACTCTCTTATCCAACTACCCAATATTATTCTCAAAATCCTATCCAAAATAATAAACCGAACGCATTTGATCGTTTTTTTATTTATTTTATGATAATAGATGTCAAGTCAGTTTACACGTATATCGATTAATCCTTCGAGCTGAGATACATGTTACAATGAGCATTTTCAACAAATTAACCTGTTACGAGACAATGCTTGCGTCGAAAAGAAACATATCCTGGTGGTGCCTAGGATTATCAAATTTCAAATAGAACTTTTATTATATTATAATTCTCTATATCATAACAATACTACAGATAACAAGCTTAAATCTCAGCTCTTAATTATCTATAACATGATTAAAAGAAACAAGGTGCGTGACTTGCTATGGATCCGCCCAAACAACGGCCTCATAATTGGTGGTGACGGAGCCATTTTCTGCAGCCAAGACAAGCTTGTAACTATACCCAGCCACCGCCTGCTCTTCGCCGTTCAACACCTTCACAAACTTCAACTCACCCTTTGATTCTCTGTTGTACTCCTTCACTGCAAACTGCCCCACCTCTTGCAAGTAGGGATCTTTGATGTTCGTTATTGGGAAATAGCTGCCTGTCTGTGCTCGGACGACACAGTCTGTGGCCAAGAGGAGGAGGAGGAGCCTGGCAGAGATCAAAAGAGGATCGGCACAACTTTGTTTCTTCATCGTAAGATATATGTTTTCTCAGTAGAAACAAATAAATATTAACTTCTAAATTGCTTCTAATAACCAGGCATTCAAAGGGGCATTTTATAGTAGAAATATTGTTATATATGTTTTTAAAGAAGTAAATTTGGTATTCGTAAAAGAGAGTTACGTATGGAATTCTAATAGTTTAAACATGAAAAGAGAGAGGATAATTTTGTTTGGAGTGTAAATTACAGTGAGTCGTAAACTCAGTAACTTAGCTATAACTTCCTTCTGTAGACGATTCCATAGTGTGTATATAAAGGAAATTAACCAGTTCTTATTCTTCATTAATGAAAATAGAGTTGCAGAATGCACTATTCATTGTCTTCAACCTCCAGCTTAGCTTAGCTTCTTGTTGTTCTTAATTATAGCTCATTTGTCATTGTATTTCTCCCGGGATAAAGTTCACTTCATGATGTTACTCTACACAGAAGTGTGATAGGAGCTCTTTAATATGCTACTGTATATTATCCCTGGCCAGAAATCTCATATGCAGAGAAATCAGTTTCTACAAGAACCAAATGGTTTTCATTGACAAGCTGTAAACACATCGCTTAGATAGCTCAAAGAGGGAGTTTGGTTTAGGGAATATTGGATTATTGTAATCTTATATTACTTTGAAGATTACTGAGAATTTTTAGGAAAATATGTTTGGTTAGTTGGTGGGTATGTTATATTAATATGTTTGGTATGAGGAATAAATTGGTGGGTATGTTATTTAAATTATTAAATATCCCTTTTTAAATATTAATATAATATTATTTTTATTATTAATTTTTAAATAGTTTCTTTTAACCCACAATATTTCAAATTTAGTTAAAACACCCCGCTTATATAAAACTTTAATTTATAACGAAATCACCCCTACCCCCTGCCGCCACCGTAAACCACTACCAGAAGTCTCCAAAAGTTACCGTGAGTAGCTCACCGTGACCACGAGGCTTTGATATGCCCGTTTTCGGCCATCAATATGGTTGAAAACGGCCATATCGAAGCCTCGCAAAGCCTCCCACCAAATCTCGGTCTTTTTTAGGGACTCTGGCGACTTTCCGACGGTGGTACATGGTGGTTGGCCCATTGTTAGCGGTGGTGGTTGGGTGGTAGTGGTGGTTTGTAATTTGTTTTAAATACAAGGACATTATTGTCCAAAAATTTAATTAAACAAGGGTAACATTGAAATGGTATATTAA